TTTGTTAATTAATTAGATAAATTCCGGTGATCGCTTAAGAAAAAGATTAGTTTTATTACATTAAATAATCGCATTTTGCAAATTAAATTAAAGTCGCAAATTTTGACGGCTTAACGTCATATTAATTGAATGAGGATGACAATGACAATTGAGGAAATTGCTAGTTAAGTAGGACATAATACAAATGGAATTCAAGCATTCTAATTTCGACTTGCACGCGCGATTAAAAAATGCATCTTAAGCTCACGAGTATTACTATTATAATATACAATTATAAATTACATGTATGCTTGTTAAATCGATATATGCCGAAAGATAAACAAATACGAATAAAGAAGTATATAATGTATGGAAAAGTCGAAGATTAAAAAAAAAATTTATACGCGATTAATAAATATTCGATCAACGAATGAAGCAACAACATATGAATATAAATAATCCCAGTAGATTTTTTTCTTTATTAATGTGCAATAAATGGATGAATAATACTCTGAAGTATGTTTCTGAAATGATGTATTATAAAAATAATAGAAAAAAATACAATTTGCATTTCAACACGGGTTCCGCGATTCTACAATGTCGATGGAACGATCTGTGCGATCAACAAAGTTGCAATTGTTCTAAGATGTTCTAACAACGTGAGAATAAAATATTTGCACTTTGTGAGTGCGGTATTTTGTTAATTAATGTAAATAAAAAAAGTGTATATAATGTATATAGTGTATGTAATGTAAATAGAGAAATATTGATCTGCAAGGAACGTATATCTACGAAAAAAAGATTTTATTATACATATATAATTTATAAATAATAAGGTGAACAATACAGTATGATAATAAGAGATTAACGCGTCTTTGACAAAGTACGTTTCAGTCGAAGAAAAATATAATCAATTTTTATGACTTAAGCTTCAGATACAATGCGAGGGAGCGATAGTGATAGAAATAACCAGATTTCAACTAATCAGAAACTGTATATTTCGGTGTATCCGATATCTGATAAGTTGAAATCTGATGTTATTTTTATCGCTACCGCTATTTCCTTGTATTTTGTATGAGACTTTAGAGCGATATGACAGTATGCATTATTAGCGCAACGCTCTAATTAGCTGAGATAATGGATCAGATAGTTGTGCAATATATACGTCTATTTATGTTAGTATAGTGAAGAAAAAAAGAATCAAAAGATATTTATCAACATTAAACGTCAACCGAATCATTCATTTAGAAATTTAAGATCGCTGTCGTTAAAGAATAAATGTATAATAAGACCTCTTACATGTACATAGCCAGCTTCTGTTAAAATCATATAGCCATTATTATTTTAATATTTATATTAATAACAAGGATATAACAATTA